CGAGCATCACCTTCTGCTGCAATAACATTTGCTTGACGACTTTGTTCCGTCTGTTTTTTTTTATCAAAAAAAACAAACTCATACAAATTTCATACTTATTGATTTACTTTTTCGACTAAAAATCGTTGTTTTTCAACATCTTGTTGTGCAATTTGTTTTGATTCAACAGCACTTGTAAATTCAGGTCTAAAACTTAAATGTGTCTAATTTAAAGAAAAAAAACAATATAATCAACTCGAGACTCTTTTTTGTTGTATCTTACAATTGAAATATCATCAAGTAATAAACCAAATTGAGCAGCACGTTCTATTAATAATTCACTAATACTTTGAGAAATAAGTGTACGTTGTGTAATCAATTCAATAGCATCAAATTGAGACTTAGTACAACAGATTTTAAAACTTCATTAATAATCGATGATAAAACACGTTTTTCATAATCTAAACCCAAATTTGCAAAAACTTTTTGGTAAAAGTTCAGCTCTTGGTCGATAAAGAATACGTAATGTTATATTAATTGTTTGTAAATCTAAAATAAAAATAATAAAATGTAATTTATGCATATTTCATTTATACGAAGAAAAAATAACGAAGACTTCCAGTTTTAAGTTTTATGAAGTATCCTAAGATTGGTGAATGATGAGAGTGTACAGGTGTAAACCGATCAGTTGAGTCACCATCGATGACCGCAAATTTTTTTAAGATATCTCAGCCATATACATTCATTAATGTTTCAAAAGACATCGTATTTACCTTGTTTTTTTCGCGAGCTTACATTTTCCTCATGTTCACCTCTCTCCTGAAGTTGACTGTTTTCTTCTAGCTTTTATACCTTTTATTTCTGTTATTAATGGAACAGATCGTGGTCGTGTACGAATATCAAATATAATTGGTCTATGAAGCCATGAAATCATAAAATGAGTTCCTTCTTCAATAACATCTGGTTTAACACCTTGAAAATGATCAAAAATAACATCTCGATGACCATCATCAACTAGAATATATTTATATTTAAAGAAAACAAGTTTTTTTTAATCTTTTCATATTTACCATTATAAAGCATACAATTAATCACACAACCACCAATACCTAAACCAATACCAATTCTTCTTAAAACACTAGATTCTTCTATCGAAATAAAATATTATTAAATAAACGAGATGAAGCCATTGTCTGTTTTTTTTCTTCTAAAAGAAAAACATGCATAATTATAATCAAATTAAATTTGTTTAGTTGTTTTGTTTTTACTAGCAAATAGTTTCAAAAAACAAAACGAAACCATATGAAAATTCTTCATATCTCTATCGATAGAACAAGAAAATGCATCACTATTTAATCTATCTATCTACTACAATAACAAACCAATGTAATAAAATACATAGAAAATGATTAAATAACAATAAACTTTGAAAGCAAAAAAAAATACATGCATACTTTTACATAAATCGAAATCCACTTGAAAAAATATGAGCACCATTCAGATATTGTTCACCATTGGGTTTTAATGAATTTGATGTATCACT